TTTTTAGTTCAATAGACTGCTCTAGACAGCAACATTTCAACATTAGTAAATATGCTCCTCAATACGTCATCGTTTGATTACATCAGGAACGTTCTTATGACGTCAGAGTCACTCCGACACTGGCATTAGCAGAATTGCCACTGTAGCGGACGGGCCAACTCCCTTGCAGTGCGGAGAACTTGCCGAGAAGTACCGTGTTACCTGGTGTCGATTTGCTCAACTCACATTTGCTCGTTATGTGTGCGCATTTTAACCATTTCTCGTAGTATCTTGGTATATTTCACCGTGATTTTATATTTGTTACTTGCATTTACTTACTCGAATTCTCACCAAAACTAGTACCACTGTCCAAATACTTCTATCATGTAGCACAGACGTGATTCGTGTTCGAACCTTGAACCCAACGCGGCACATCGGTTGAAGTCCAACTGCTGTCCGTTAAAGCCACGAATCGGACTGATATACGCCAGACACGAATAATTCGACGATCCTGTTTTTCTTGCCTTTGGGCACTACATGCCTATTGAGGTTGACGTTTCTCTGGCGTTATGCGTACCTGGAAAGCCTTAAAATAGGCTGCGCAAAACAGTCTGCAGAAGCCGGCGTGCGGCAGGTCCAAAAACAAGACGATCTGAAAACTTGAATAGGACATGGCTGTGAATTGCACCGAATGATCTTGAACATGACGATCTAAATTCAAAATTCCATACACATGTGAAACACTTCCTTCCGTCACAGGAAGGTGACTGCACCAGATGAGTTGTTGGAATGGCATTGATTTGCTTGGATCCATCTCAACTTGTTAGCTACATTGACTTGTCAGTTTTTTAAGAAAGCTGCAGGTTCCGAGTCTTGCTTTCCGGCCTTACTGCAGGCTGTGCAAGTTGTCAATTATTATTTGTTGAGAACGTCACTGACTGAACAGAGCGGGGGGGGGGGGGGAGGGGGGACGTAAAGAGAGATAAAAACCCTCGCCTGGACAATCGCTCAATAGAATTCCCGCCACAACGAGTGCCAGCCATCTTAAGTGATACTCATTTCATACAGCTGTTGCCGGCGCGTTACATCTGTGAAACACCCAGGATTTCATATGAGGACAGCACAATATTTAGCTTTTAAGATACTCTGTCTTCCCACAAAAACCATCCGCCCTTGATTCCTTATTCTCATCACCCAATATCTTCGTAACAACCCACTTGCAAGGTAAGCTATATGTACCAGCCATTAGGGAGCCTCATGGGAATGTTTCATGTTTGGAGTTATCGAGGCAGACATCAAATTTGATGAAATAACGAAAAATGTATGATCCTTTAGAAGTGTCATACAAATCCTGCCGCTCCATTAGTTACTTGGCGCTCAAGGCCAAGAACATGATCACCGCGTCGTTCATGTCTGGCGTTCGTGAGAGCAATTTCCAGGTATGACGGACGCCAGCTGGCGCTCAAACAATGTTGTGCAGGCTGTGGAGCCTCAAGTCACGTTTTGTGCTGCATCTACACAAACTTGGATATGGTTGTTACTTGCAACAGAAATATGGGTTGTAATCAAATGACGTAAGAAAAGCGCCACAACCGAACATATGAATAGAAGTAAATGTATTTAACTCATGGCTAAATATACAAAACTACTACGAGACAGAAGCAAACCGCAAACACCAAATGGTATTTGGCTCAGCAGCCTAGAGCAACGCCGCTGCCATCTCTCGGCGAGTTGAAGGACTACATGAGGGCGTCAGGGTGGCAATTTCGCACGGCTATTTTGGCAGAACCTCTGCGTCATGCTGACGTTCCATGACGCAATCAAACAATGACGTATTGGAAGCATATTTCCTAAATACAGGAATTTTCTTGCGAAGAAAAGTGTGCTCCATTTAAAATCATGCCGATAGCTAAAAGTGAGCTTATTTCATCATATCTGATGCTTGCCTCAAGGTCTTCGAATGTGGAGCATTATCTTTAGGGCTTGAAGTGGTGCCCTCTGCATGTCTTGCATTGTCGTCATTATGATGTACGCGTCATTCCGAGGCGTGCTATTCGTCCAGGCTTTCTGCACCACATTTCACAGCAAAACAAGAGCGCAGCGGTCTCGCGCGCCTCGCCGTTTCCCTTGCATGCCGTTGCCGGCGCTGTTGGCGGCCGCAGCCAGCAGCGCTTGGTCAGCAGTCTGGCGACCGTTGTCGCCTGAGGACGTCCCGCGCCGCCCGGGCGCGCTGCTGGAAGTGCTGACGGCCGGACCGGGGCCGCTGCCAGTCGGCGCAGTTCCGGGATCCGGGGACGGCCGGGCTCCCGGGCGGGCTGGAGCGGCGCTGGACGGGAGCTGGCACCGGGGTCGGAGCGCGGTCCATCAGAGTCGGTTCGGAATGGGCGGGGCCCGCTGACAGGATCGGCGCGGGGGAGCGTGCGTTCCCGTGACGCACTGCTACGAGGTGGGGTGGGTTCCGGTGACAGCATCGCTGCGATGAGGGGAGGTCCCGATTACATTATCGGTAAGGGGAGGTGGGTCTCGGTGACAAGATCGGCGCGGTGGGGCAGGTCCCGGTGACAGGAAGGGGATGGGGAGGGGTGGGGAGGGGGTGATCCCAGCATTAGCGTCAGTGCTCCTGAGGCAGTAACGGGAAGGGTGAGGTGGGTACCGGTGATACTGCCGTTGCAGTACAGTATCGGTACGGTCACAAGGTTGTGGTGGCGGCACCCGTGACCGAGGCAGACTCCGCTGGCGGCATTGGTGCGGGCGAGGACGGCCCTGCCCTGAGCACGAGGCGGGCAGGCGGTGCCGACATGCCACCGAAGGCGGCCGGTCAGCCCTGCTGCTGCTGCAGGTCGACTCCCTCGACGGCGGCCGACAATCTGTGGTCGGTGCCGAGTGGAGCCGATACGGCGCCGGTCAATCAATGCCTGTCCGACCGGCCGCCGGCGACCATTAATACCCACCTGTCTGGCGACGGCGCCGCTGGCGGCCTGATGGGTCCGGACCCGGCCCCACCGGACACGCTGCACCGGATGTGACCACTCGTCTGGCCCACCGTACCAGACGCGGTCCCTGACCGGGTCTCCTGTGCCAGGCACGGTCCCTGGCCGGGTCTCCCCACCAGCTGCGACCCCTGACCGGGTCTTCCGCACCAGCTGCAGTCCCCGACCGGGTCTCCGCACCAGCTGCAGTCCCTGACCGGGTCTCCGCACCAGCTGCAGTCCCTGACCGGGTCTCCGCACCAGCCGCGGCGCCTGACGGGGCCCGCCACGCCAGCTGCGGCCTCTTATTCACCAAGCCGTCTGCGGCTCCCTCTACAGCCATTAGCTGATGCCTTCGCACGGTACCCATGACGCTCATTATGTATGAATAACCAAGCCGTTCACCTACCCAGAATTGCTGCACAGCTTTTATTTTGTGGCACTAACGAGCCCGATATTCGCGGGCCCGCAAGTCCGATAGCCTTGCGGGAATAGCTTGGGACTAGTTTATGGGAAAATGTTAAGGCCTTTCCTTCTATATTCTTGAGTTAAAAGGGCACATGGCTGCGCACGTGCAGTTTGCTATGTGCTTGTAACGAAACCATCTGGGCAAGCAGGCATCCATCGCTCATGGAGCCACCTTCGCAGCAGCAAAAAGGAAATCAAAAGGAAATCCTGGGGAAATCAGCGTAGAAACTCAGCGAGGATGGACGCCGGGTAGCGTAGCGGGGCGTCTGGATCAGCATCCCACGCTTGCCACCTAATTACCACTTACCAGGCTTACCACTTAATAATGCTACCATGCCTAGTCTGGCGTGGCAGGATGCGTTGTGGCCAGTAGCCACACGTGTCTATGGTTATGACTATGGGTGAGCGTATGGTATATGGTACCTATGGTTAAGCTTAAAGGGGAACTGTCACCTTTGGAGATTCCCACAACACTGGCGGTGGTGAATGCGCGGAACTGGACATCACTGAACATACTCCGTGACTCGTTACCGTGAGCGCTGCTGGACACCTGGAATATTTCAATAATAAGTTTAAAGTTTGCTTGATGTCTTCTGTGGGTCATTTTCTCCTCGCCTACTGAAGGCCAGTTATTTTCAGCACAATAAGTCGAATTGTCAGACAATCCGGAGTTTGATATCTTGCAAACTATTATCTAGGGATAATATACGATTTCATGAAAAAGGATTGGTGCAGTACGAGTTAAACGATGCACAGCATTTTATTTGCGATTCATTCCATTGCAAGACAGAACACAGCCATTCAATACTAGACCTCCCAAAAAATAAAACGCAAGGGTATGTCTAAGCCACCATCGGTATGATAAAGCTGCCACACACAGCGAGAATCAGGGCACTTCGGATTGAGTCATCAAGGGATGCTGCGGGCTTGTTTGGTGCCGAAAGGCAAGATGACGTAATATGAAACCCAGAGGTCATGACCACACTATCTTCTTACAAAGCATAACCGATAAAAACAGCCACGCAGACATGTCAAAAATATATGTGGCTACAACTCGGTGGCCATAAATTTGAGCAAACTAAAAACCACAGACCCAGATTAGGACCCCGAGACAATCCCGTGATTATCATATAAAGCCAGATCGCAGTCGACATAATGTGAAGCTGGGCTGTGTCACGTGGTGCTGTGATGAGTCGCGGGGATGCACGCATGACCTTGGTGATCTACTATATCACTATAGTGGATCACCAAGTCTCCAAGTCTCCGCTATTGTGCTGTGTCGCCCATGTGTGTGAACAGCAAAGTGTTGTGTCCAGTCAACGGTGAGGAGCTTAGGGAAAATGTCCAACGCTCAACGACCTATGACGCGTACCGGTATATCCTGCTGTGCGTTGCGTGCATACAGGGGTGTCATGGGATCCCTGGCATCGCGCGCGTGGCCTTTCACACGTGGTTCCTTCGCACGGCCCACAGTCGGCATTTCGTGTCAGCTGGCTGAATGGTTTCAGGTGGCGACAGAACGTTATACAAGGCGCGACATGCCCTGATGCCCTCACTGATGGTGGTCTTTCTTACATGCCTAAGTCACGAAAAAGGAGATAAAACACTGGTAAGTGCGCTAACCGGTGACTTGCACGGGTTCTTCTCGCAGCGTTTTGCGTGCAGCACGTTTGGAACTGCATGCCGCTTGTCCTCCGTGAATGTGTTAACATATGATATTGCGGGGAGCTGTCTGAACCAGATAGGGTCGGGGCAAGGCACGCTTTGCAGAGCGTTCGGCAACCAATACCCTCTGTGCCAACCTAAGGAGAGCAAAACTGATGAACTGGTGTCGTCATACCAAATCGATCACGCTTCTCTCTGCTCGAATTTGATGAGATCTGATGAGGGTAAAGATCAATTTGCTATATAAACACAACCTGACGGTGATGGATAATCTCGGGGATCAACGCCGGAGATGCTGAAGAGTCAAGTTATTCCACCAGCCCAACAGCTTGAAATGACCATAATAGTGCAGAGAACGTTTCACCTCAGCTAGCCAGAAAAGACGGATCTCATGGCCCAATGATGTGAGTTTTCAGTATGCATTGTTGAATGCGTGACTGTCTTTGACCTGCAACCTTGCCAGGTCATTGCTCAAAGTTGATGTTGAATGTCCTGCATCCAATCACTCGTTTTTAACATGTGGCATGGCCTTTAAGTGCTGCCAAATTGTCAATGTTTTGCCACACATTAAGTCACAATTAATGCTTTGTCAGTGTTTTTGTCAATGTTATGCCACACATTGAGCCACAATTCATGTTTTGTCAATGTTTTTGTTGATGTTTTGCCACAATTAAGCAAATGACTTCAGACCGGAGATGTTGTATGTCCGCATGCGTTGCACGAGTGACATGCTCCCAAGTTGGAGATGCTATATGTCCGCATGCGTTGCACGAGTGACATGCTCCCAGGTTGGAGATGTTATCTGTCCGCGTGCGTTGCACGAGTGACATGCTCCCAGGTTGGAGATGTTATGTGTCCGCATGCGTTGCACGAGTGACATGCGCCCAGGCTGGAGATGTTATATGTCCGCATGCGTTGTACGAGTGACATGCTCCCAGGTTGGAGATGTTATATGTCCGCATGCGTTGTACGAGTGACATGCTCCCAGGTTGGAGATGTTATATGTCCGCATGCGTTGTACGAGTGACATGCTCCCAGGTTGGAGATGTTATGTGTCCGCATGCGTTGTACGAGTGACATGCTCCCAGGTTGGAGATGTTATATGTCCGCCTGCGTTGTACGAGTGACATGCTCCCAGGTTGGAGATGTTATATGTCCGCATGCGTTGCACGAGTGACATGCTCCCAGGTTGGAGATGTTATATGTCCGCATGCGTTGTACGAGTGACATGCTCCCAGGTTGGAGATGTTATATGTCCGCATGCGTTGTACGAGTGACATGCTCCCAGGTTGGAGATGTCATATGTCCGCATGCGTTGGATGGGTGACATGCTCCCAGGCTGCTGGCGATTTGTTTTGCATCGATTTCTGCATCGACCTCAAAATGCGCGGGAAAATCAATTTTGTCATCAGATTCTTTCATGAATATGGGGTCCCAGTCGACTGCTCGGCTAATTGCTCACCGGGTCTGCTATGTTATCCATTTCGTTGCGGAAGGCGAGATGACACGGCATCACTTGTCTGTATGACGATGCTGGAACTAGCCGAAGCTGCCCATTGTTGGCTGAAACATGCAGGCCACCGAAGGCATCAGAATGCATGACATGCGGAAAGGCTTTGCTAATATGCTTCAAAGCGAGGTATAATTAGGCATTGTTAGTCGCGACGAACGGTCCCCTGGCCATCACAGCCAGCATTCTCTTCCCTGTCATTTGTCATTTACGGCTCGTTTTCGTCATCCCTACCCTCCCGGAATTGTTGGAACTGGAGAATTCACGACCTGGTGCCTTTTCTTGGCTTCGGCGGACGTGCCGGGTGTATTTTTACCGCGCCCAGAATGGAATGAGCCCGCCCGAGTCGTCCTGCGGCAGCCTCGTGCTCATCCTCTCTCGCACGTCATTGAATATTCGGTGAAGGTGGCTGCGGCATTTTGCTTCAGGTACTGGAAAAACATGGAGGGGCTTTCATTGGGAGGCCGGTGGAGGATGTCGTTTGAATCCGTTCGTTGTAGCCGCCGCTGATACAGTCGCCGGAGCATCTGCCTGGTGACGTAGCAAAGACATACTAAGCATCAACATCGAAGTCAGCCTGTGGAAGCGGAGGTTTAATTAAAAAGTGCTTGCCATTTTTGGATTGGCTGCTACATCCCTCACTTATTCTCAACACTACTGAGTGGCTTTTTTCTATATTCCGGTTAGATAAGCAATAACTCTGATTTGAAGCAGGCTTTAAACCAGGTTTTTTGTGGTCGTCCTTTCGTCCGCTAAGTACGCTGATATGGCAGCGTGAGGCATGTGTTCGAGCCCATCTCCGCACTGTCAGAGCCCGCAGACGGGTGGATGGCAGCCTGATCTTTTTCCATCTACAATCCTTGGGTTCGCCATAGGAAGACGTCGCATAATTGTCTGCAAAGTCTCCAAACAACACCACCTCTTTTGGCCTAAGACGATTTTCGAGCTCTTGGAGACAAGCCAGGCGATGTGGCAGATTTCTTACTGCTTGCGTGATAGGTTTACTAGTGACCACCTCGCTCGTGCCAGTCCTTCTCGTGAGTCAGGCAAAGATAGATCCTCTCGGTCTAGCACTTCTGTAATCCAGTTCATTACACTCACCGACACTTACAACACATTACAATGCCCAAGTGCACGACCAATAACATCCTTGCGTCTTTGAGTCAATGAATGGCAATTGGGCGTCTGGATTAGAGCCCTTCGACCAGACATGATCATGTCAAGGCTGGGGATGGAGGAGTATGGATAGCGGTGGGACAGGACTACGTGCGCCTGAAGGGCCAACCGCCGAGCCTAAGTGCGCGCAGGGACTTCTCTGTGGGACGTGCGCCAGGCGCCCGGACGGGGTTCCCCTCCGGGGGCCTCTCGACCCACTCGTGGCTGACGAATGCAGCCTTTCCCGGACAATGGGGACACGGGGTTCCCCACCGTGGGGCCCCCCGACCCACTCGTGGCTGACGCATGCAGCCTGCCCCGGACAATGGGGACACGGGGTTCCCCTCCGTGGGGCCTCTCGACCCACTCGTGGCTGACACATGCAGCCTGCTCCGGACAATGGGGACACGGGGTTCCCCTCCGTGGGGCCTCTCGACCCACTCGTGGCTGACGCATGCAGCCTTTCCCGGACAATGGGGACACGGGGTTCCCCTCCGGGGGCCTCTCGACCCACTCGTGGCTGACGCATGCAGCCTTTCCCGGACAATGGGGACACGGGGTTCCCCACCGTGGGGCCCCCCGACCCACTCGTGGCTGACGCATGCAGCCTGCCCCGGACAATGGGGACACGGGGTTCCCCTCCGTGGGGCCTCTCGACCCACTCGTGGCTGACGCATGCAGCCTGCCCCGGACAATGGGGACACGGGGTTCCCCTCCGTGGGGCCTCTCGACCCACTCGTGGCTGACACATGCAGCCTGCTCCGGACAATGGGGACACGGGGTTCCCCTCCGTGGGGCCTCTCGACCCACTCGTGGCTGGCGCATGCAGCCTGTCCCGGACAATGGGGGCACGGGGTTCTCCTCCGTGGGGCCTCTCGACCCACTCGTGGCTGACGCATGCAGCCTGCGCCGGACAATGGGGACACGGGGTTCCCCACCGTGGGGCCTCTCGACCCACTCGTGGCTGACGCATGCAGCCTGCCCCGGACAATGGGGACACGGGGTTCCCCTCCGTGGGGCCTCTCGACCCACTCGTGGCTGACGCATGCAGCCTGCTCCGGACAATGGGGGCACGGGGTTCCCCTCCGGGGGCCTCTCGACCCACTCGTGGCTGACGAATGCAGCCTGCCCTGGACAATGGGGACACGGGGTTCCCCTCTGTGGGGCCTCTCGACCCACTCGTGGCTGACGCATGCAGCCTGCTCCGGACAATGGGGGCACGGGGTTCCCCTCCGTGGGGCCTCTCGACCCACTCGTGGCTGACGCATGCAGCCTGTCCCGGACAATGGGGGCGCCGTGAGAATTCGGGATCAAACGAGAGAAACGTCGGATGATGCATGGTAACAAACGGTTCGTCTTATGTACTAGCTCCAATCGGAAAAGAGTCATGATCACGTGCTACAGAAGTATGTGATTATTAACAAATAAGGAGCTGTTACGACATCCTTCGATGGTCTATTAAACCAGTTACAGACTTGGAATGGCCGTGCGGTCCCGGAAGTATCTCATGCAACAGACGGCTGGTGAGGCGCCGGGGGTGAATTTTTCAGGGAGCACCAAATCTTATTACAGATGGCATACATAGCTAAGGTTCCGACGGAACAGATGGCATGCTGCAAGTGATCTGTTTCCCTGGAAGGTCAAATGTCTCCTAGTGCCTGTATCGTCCAGAGATTTCTGAGAATTCTCGAGATTATACGTCCGAAGACATCTTGTTTTTTAAGAGGATGTAAAGGATTCTGAAGATGTTACTGCCATGAAATATGTACCTTTTTACAGACGCTTGCATGCCGCGTTATGCCGCACCAGTACACCAGTGACTCGCAAAACTAAATAATAACTCAGTCGAAGGCTGGAAAGTGGCCTCAACAAACAACCCATCATTGCGTGCCCATCTTCGCTATTGAGTTTTGCTGAATTCCGTCTCAGCGAGGAACACTGAACATTCGCCAAGCAGTTATAGCGGTGGTTTTCACACCATTGGTCGTTACACTGTCTAATTATTTTCGACTTTCATCCGTTTGATTGTTTGATGTCGCCGCCCGGTCGTCGGCTATTGTATTCGTCCGACTCTAAAAAGCGTCGATGGGCTGTTATAGCAGACTCGGCAGCGCGGCCCACACGACCCTGGGGAGCAGGTCTATATTACGTGCAGAGGCAAGCGCCTATCCTGCAGGGCGGCTCGCCGAGTGGCTTTTGGCCCTGGGGTCGCCAAAGGGTGGGAGGGAGATGACGCACTGCGTCTCAAACAAAGCCTCTAATCGGTTGCATGCTCCTCG